TAGGAAATACATTAACTCTGTAGACTGTTTTTGATAATGTGGTCATTTTAACAACACTAATTCTGCCTATTCAGGAACGGGGATATATTTCCATTTCCTAATCTCCTCTTCAAGCTCTTTCTTTAGAGCACTGTAATTTTCATAATAGGTCTTTTACATCATTGATTAGGTTGATTCCTAGATATTTAACTTTTTGAAGCTATCATTAATAAGATCATTTTCCTGATTTCCTTCTTACTGAGTTCATTATTGGTGTACAGAAACACTATTGATTTTTGTGCATTAATTTTATATCCTGTGACCTTGATAGATCTGTTTACTTGCTCTACAAGTTTTTTTGTGGGTTTTTTTGTTGTTGTTTTCTCTTGTTTTGTTCTTTGTCTTTTTATTATCATATTATCTACATATATTTCTACATAGTTTGACACTTTCCCTTCCTACTTGTGGCTAATTTCTCTTGCCTGATTGCTCTAGCTGATGTTTCAAGTACTATATTGAACAAAAAAGTGAGAATGGACACCTGTCTTGTTTCTGGTTTTAAAGAAAACATATACTTTGTTTTTCCTCATGTATTATGTTATTGGCTGTGAGTTTGTCATGAAGGGCTTTCCTGAGTTTGAAGCAAGGGCCTTCTATACCTATTTTCATCAGGATTTTTCCTAAAAAAAACCATTGGTTTTGTCAGTTTTTCTATATCTACAGTAAGTCCCTAACTTACAAACATTCAAAGTTGCAAACTTTCACAGGTATACCATATAGGACTCACTTTGTCAAACTCACTACAAATCTGACATACAATCATTCTTTCTGAAGGGAACACCTTCATAGGTTAGGAATTTACTGTATTGAGAGATTATGTGATTTTTTCCCTTTTTTTAAACCTTAAAATGAAAAGCAGAATAAAAATGATACAAAATTTCAAAACAAAAGAATAAGAGATTAACACTGGTTAATACATTGTGTACTGGGATTGGAAGTCCCATTTAACTCAGCTATTCCATTTTTAGGCATATTCCCAGAAGAACTGAAAACATCACACCATAGTGTATTATGTTCACCCATGTTTATAGCAGCACAATTTGTAATAGTCAGATCTTGGAAACAACCTAAGTGTCCATCAACTGAGGAATGGACAAAAAAAGTTGTGGTATTTTTATACAATGGAGTACTACTCAGCTATAAACAATGATCACATTGAGATATTTATAAATAAGTGGATGCAACTTGAGACCATCCTCATAAGCGAAATAAATCAAAGTCACATTTATAAATACCGTATAGTCTCCCTAGTGTAAGAAATGGTAGGAGTACATAAAAGTTTATAGTAATTATGATTCCCCATTACATTGCTTTGAAGCCTTATAATGTTGGCATTAATTAGTTGGAATGGTTTTATCCTGGTTTGTTTGATTTTATTATCTGTGATGATATAAACAGCTATTTTGAAGAAAACAAGGCATTATAATAGCCAGTGCTGACTTAATATCATCTTACTCTGAAGTCCTACCTTGCTTTTGTTCTTCTGTTTCCATTGGTTCTATCACATTATATCTTACTGGATTCTAGTATATGTTATGTATAAGCCAATTTTCTATGAATAATGAGATAATATAGTAACCATTGTTCATTCTCTCTCATTTGGTTCTGAATGCCCTGTAATACTTTTATTCTCTTGAATGGTTTTATACTATTTTGTTATGTTTGGTTCTATTGTGTATGAAGTTATGCTCAACTATTTCAAAGAAAGAGACATTATGGTGATTACTGTTAATTATGGGTTGTTTTGTGGTGGAATACTGTATTGCTTTCTTTGTTCTGTTCTGATCTGCTTTGCTATATCCTCTTTTGTCTTAATCTCTTTAAAATAAAAAATTTAAAAAATAAATGAAAGATAATAATAAGTTTTTTTAAAAATACATTGTGTATTGTTATCACTAAAGTAGTTGTTCAATGTACAAGATATAGGCATGGGGCTTTTATGATTCATTTTATTTTTGTGGTTATTACATTTATTGATTTATCTGTGTTGCACCGTCCTTATGTCCCTGGGATGGAGCCTAGTAGGTGATGATATATTATCTTTTTAATGATTTGTTGTATTGTTTGCAAATATTTCATTGAGGAATTTTGCATTTATGTTCATCAAATATATTGCCCTGTAACTTTTTGTTTGTTTGTTTTGGTTTTTTGTTTAATCTTGCTTCATCTTTGTTTTGTTTTGTTTTGTTTGACATTAGGGTTATGCTGGCTTCATGGAATGAGTTTGGCAATGTTTTCTTATTTTAATTTATGATAATTATGAGAAGTATTAGTACTAGTTCTTCCCTGAAGTTCTGGTAAAATTTAGCTGTGAGTTCAATCAGGCTTGGGCTTTTCTGAGTTGGAAGATTTCATTACTACTTCAATTTCATTACTGTTTATGGTTTTTGTATCTACTTGGTTCAGTATTTTTGTGGCATATACATCTAGGAATTTATTTCTTCCATATTCTCCAACTGTTGGAGAATAATTTTCAACATACTTTCTTATACCCTCTGAATTTCAGTGGTGTCTGTTTTAATTTTGCCTTTTTCAATTCTAGTTGTATTGATGAGGATCTTTCCTTTTTTCATAAATCTAGCTGAGTTTATCAATCAATTCTATCTTTGCAAAAACCCAATTGTTTGATTTATTTAGCCTTTTTATTTTTTAATCCCAATTTTTGTTGATTTCTGCTCTGATATTTATAATTTCTGGCTTTCTACAAGATTTAGATTGGAATTTCTCTTATTTTTCTATGGCCTTGTGATGAATCATTACCTCATTGATTTGATAACATTTAACTTTTCTAATATAAGCACTCAATGCTTTTCTTGTACCCCAGAGATTCTATGTTGTATTACCACAGTCGTTAGATCTAGAAACTTTTAAAATTTCTTCTCTGATTTCTTCTATGAGTCACTGAGTATACAAAGGTGAATTATTTAGTCTCCATGGAATTGTATAATTTCTGTGTCTAATTTCATTTTTGGTGTCTAGTTTCATATTCCATTATAATCTAATAGGATGCAAGAGATTATTTTGATTGTTATTTATTTATTTAAACATGTTTTATGACTTGAAAGCTTGGGGGAAATGAGGAAAAATACAATGAAAATACTATGAGCTAATATAAAATAAAATTTTATATTTTATATAAAGAAAATTGAGAAAATAGGTTTTGGTGGGGAAAGAAGAGATATGAAAGGTTATGTGAAGGGGCAGGTTAAAAACAATATAGAAAAAAAATTATAAAAAAATAACTACAAGAAGGAAGTATTAGTGAAAAGTTTAATAGAAAAACTTTGTAGATGTTGGAGCCGGTAGATCTGAATACATGCAGGAACCCAGGGTAGAAATTAAAACACTGATTCACATCCATACCAAACTGCATCCTCCCTCCCCCGCCCCGTCCGCGCTACCATGCATGGATATCTGAGAATGCAAATAGATGCTCAAATCTGTTTCACTCGCTGACTGCACACAAATTTCTGGAGAGAGCCAGTGCTCCACCTAATTCCAAATCTGCTGACTTTATCACTCCACATTCCAGAGCCTCTGTTTTCTTCAAATCCTTAATTCTGTTTCCTTCAGTGAGTTTCAGCCTGTACTTTTCTGCTCACCCTGAATGATTATTTAAAAAAATATAATGTGGCTGGGCATGATAGTACATGCCTACAATCCCAACATTTAGGAAGTTGAAACAGAAAAGTTTCTGTGAGTTCAAGGGTACCCTGAAATCCATAATGAGTTTAAAACCAGCCAAAACTGCATAATGAAATACTACTGAAAGAAGGAAAGAAAGAAAAAAAGAAAAGAAAGAAAGAAAGAAAGAAAAGAAAAGGAAGAAAGAAAGATGTCTATCAGCTCATGAGTGGAGAAATAAAATAGCGATTGAATGGAACATTATTCATCCCTAAAATGGAATGAATTACTGAAAAATGCTCACATTGGTGAATCTTGACAATATTATGTTAAGTAAAAGAAGCCAGATTGAAAAAGCCCACATAGTTCCTGCTTTATTTATATGAAATGGCTAAAATATGTAAATAGAGATTGAGGGTTAATCACTGCTGGAGCTTAGAAACAAGCATAATACACACAGACTAATAAAACAAGTGCTTCCTTGAGGGATCATAAAAATATTCTGGAGTTAGGATAGTTGCATAAGTTTCCATGTCCTATAAATGTACTAAATATATACTTTTAAAGGGTGAATTTACAGTATATGAATTGTATTTCGAAAAGCATCTATTACAAAATCATTACAAAATAGCTGTTACTTAATGACAGCATCCATCACGAGAGAAGTGGGGAATAATAAAAGCTTCTAAAAAATATTTGCTGATAGCTTTTGGCCCTTTTAGAAACATTTCTTATCCAAAAACACAGTGGATATCCAACATTTTAAATATGTTTATCTCTTCTAAAATATATTGAATATCTTGAGTAAGGGCATGGGAAAATTAAAGGAGATACTGTATTAATGTAAATAGTAAATGTGAGGACACAGAGGAAGCCATCCTTTTTTATTTATCTATTTATTTTATTTATTTTATTTTATTTTTTTTTTTTTTGTCTTTTTCCTTTTTTATCGGTACCGGGGATCAAACTCACGACTGCCTGCTTGCAAGGCAGGTGCTTATGCCACTGAGCTAAACCTCCAGCCCTGGAAGCCATCCTTAATTTTCAGTTTACCTCTTTATCAAGCAGTCTTTCCCAGATTTTATGTTCTCTCTCTGGATTTAAGTAATCACAAAAACAATATCCCTTTCTTAATTCCCAAGTGAATTTTCATAGTGCTCAACAGTAGAAAAGTATAAATCTTGAAGTATATTAGACAATTAGAACAGAATTCCTGAAATGTTTTCTTCCTGGAAATACAGTTTATGATATGGATATTATTTTTCCTCAACTGATATTCCAAATCTCTCAAACTAAATAAGGAATTTAAATTTTTTGTCTTTCTTTTTCTCTTCCAGGTGCTACCTCCAAACACTGGTTGTCTCCATATTGATAGGGATTGTTCAGCCACATATTGCCACGAATCCAGTGGTAACATCTATCATCCTTTCCAAAAGCACGAGAAGCTGAGAGCCAGCAGGTATATCATGAGGCACACATCAGAGGTCATCTGTGAGGTCCTGGATCCTGAGGGAAACACCTTTCAGGTGAAGTATATCTTCAGTATGGACAGACAGCCTGAGGCTCTGAGATTTGTAATATTTCACAGTAGACAGCTTTATGTAGATCTTAACTTTCTTTGTCATAGAATTGCTTAGCCTCTTTCTGACAATACTTTGGGCAAGAAATCATGAAAGCAGTAACTTTTCTTGATTTCCAACTGCATTTCCCTAGAGCATGGCAAGCCCAACGGTAGAACAGTAGAAATGTTAGAGCATAATAGATAATTTAAAAAGGAAAGAAATATTATCAGATATCAGAAAACAATGCTACCACAAAGAATGATATAAGGATGATCTGCATCCTTGTTGAAATGAAATCAAGTACAAAGCAGAAGGCAAATGTGTGCAATGAGCCAAAGAGCCCATACTGACAAATATCTTGTAAGACCGAGGATTAGGGGCAGAAGGTCTGAAGGGATGCTCAACTCTTCCATGGTACAGCTCCATCTTCTGCTCCTGACTTTCCTTTACCTATAGTCCAGGCCTTGGCCACTTGCTCCATAAACCTCAAAAACTATTTTTTGTACATTTTAATTTCATTAAAAGTCTCAAAAGATTTTGTGACACACAAAAATTTCAGAAAATTCATTCTCAGTCTTGTCAAGTAAAGTATGCTAGAAAACCATGATATATTTTTGCTTACTTAGTTGTCTCTGGCACTTCTGCTTAGTAAGGAAGTGCTGAGTATTTGCAATACAGAACATGTGGCCTGCAAATCCTGGAGTATTTACTTCTGGATCCTAACCAAAGAGGTTTGCCAACCCTTGCTCTAAGAATTTGTTGGGGTTTTTTTCCTCATTCCCCACCCAAAAGTGGAATTTCCTTCATTGTCTGGTAAGTATGAAGTTATTTTTTTGTTTTTTGGTTTGTTTGTCACAAAGTCCTTAACTTCTTTTTTGGTATGCAGACAAGTCTAGCTTTCCTGAGTAACTGAGACTCTTCACAGCATGAGTTCACGCTGACAGATTTCAGTTTATGAAGAATTAGAAACGTGAAGCTCATCACCCCCCACATTGAAATGTTGGGGATGTTATAGCCAACCACCTTTCTAGACACTGACGCTCCTCCTGGGGATCACTGTCAGCCTGTATCTCACTTTCTGGAACTATGCTCCCAGAGCTAGAGAGCAGTAACAGCTGGACTATTTCTCGTGTTAAGGTTAAATTTGTTTCCCTGCATATTCTACCTAGAGGCCCTAACTCTGCTTTTGAAATCTCAGAGTGCAAGTTTCTTCCCTGTGATGCCTTTTAACTGTCTGAAGACAACTATCACAGGAATGCCCATTCTCTCATGTTTAAATATCCCATTCTTTGAATTTGTCTGATAGAATAAGGTTTTGAGTCCCCGCTCCATTCTAGTTACTTTGTGTCAAATGTTCCAGATAGTTTTCAAATTCTAGGTATGGTTTATAAGTAGAACTGTGAGCTAGATTTTCATTTTTATTAGTGTAATTTTAATTAAGTGAATGGTATCCTTTATTTGCAAATAAAACCTGTCTGATTTTCTGAATATGAAAACATACCTGTTTTCTCACTCTAGACTGACAGAAATGAAAGCATTATGATAATTTTACTTTTTCTTTTAATGAATTTTATGCCCTGTCACTTAGGTCATGGCTGATGGCAGTGCATCAACTGTGTTAGCTGAAAAAAAATCTGAAGATGATTTAAATGTAAACCTTGAGAGCTATGACAGCTTATCATCTATTCGCCTTGAAAAGGATCATATGCAAATTTATGGTGAACATGTTCCCAGGTAAAATAATACTAATAATATTATAACTGATGCTTTCAATTCCAAGTTCAAGAAGCATTTTAACTGAGTAGTTCAAATGATTATTGTATTTTTATTTTGTCAGATTTTTTGTTATCTATGCCGATGGATCAGGAATGGAACTTCTCCGGGACCGTGACATTGAAGAACACTTATCCTTGGCCTATGGGGAATCAACTACCGTGGTTCTCCAGGAGCCAGTGCAGGAGCAGCCAGGTAGAGCTTTGTCCCTTCACCAGCTCTCACCTTTTTACTGTCCAGTTCATTGTCTTCTCTTTTGTTTTCCCTCACTTACTATTCCACTTTCCAGTTGGCCGTGCCAATCTACTTTTACAGCTACTTTATGTTCATATAGTGCTCTTTCTGAACACCAAACTGTGTAAACTGAGAAAAAATTAATCTTCCTATTATAAGCAGATCTGCATGTAAACCTAAATTTCCTCCCCATCTCAGGGATCCAGGCTCTTTTATTCATACTCTTACATGCTGAGGTGGTTTATTTTAGAGTATATTTATGATATAGAATAATTTTAATCTTTTTTGAGTTACCTTCATTATTTTTACTTCTTTTTTCCTCCTATGCCTTTCTTTGCTCTTACATCTGAGTTTATTTCATCCTGATAAGAATGAGAGAGCTCTTAGAGGTTTTGTCATTTAAAGATGTTTCCTTGAAATTTAATACAAGATAATATATTTTATATATGAAATGTATAATTTCATATATAATGTCAATATAAGATATATAGGTCATATAAGTTATATTCATTAGAAATTTATATTATTTTCATCAATTTCAATGAAATTGGGATGTGACCAGAAATTAGAGAAATGTTACTTTGATTCCTGCACCTAGGTCTGTTTCTTTTTATCTTTTGTTCAATGTGATATGTGTCAGATCCATCTATGAGTATGCCTATAGCCCCATGCACTTTTATCTTTTAGTGTATCCACGTACATGTACACTAAAGCTTGCTCTTTGTGACTATGAAGAGCAGAAGGCTCTGTGTATGTAATGCATGCATGTAAATGTGTGAGAAAAAGATTCTCAAATTGCTGTGTTAGTCATTTGTGTACCATCACTTGGCAAATCTACCTGTGCCAAGCAGTGACTGGGTGTTAGGAACACCATGGTGACCTAAAATAGGCATGAACCAACTTTTATGAAGTTGAGGTAAGCATTTATTATGCAGCTACACAAATAGCCAGATAATTATAAATTTGACTATAGTCTATGAAAGATACACTGTTCTGAGGTAGTCTGGAAGGCTTCCTTGAAGACATTTGATTCAAGAGCTCCTAGATAAGTATGGTTAATTCAAGTAGGAAGAAAGGTTTTCTTGGAATACTGGAACGCAAAGGAGAAAAATCATAAAGAGAGAAAAGCCATATTGCTAAAAGCACAGGCAGGGAAAATGGTGCAAGTTGAGGCAGAGCAAGAAAATTATACTCTGGTTTGTCTTTTGAGCAACAGGAAATCAAAGAAGAGTTTGAATCATGGATGGACATAACCAATAGTCCTGGCTGCAGGAGACAGTTCATTCACAAGCACATACAAGTAGAAAAGTTAACTATTGCTCTAGGCCATTAATAGTATCTTTCATAGGCAGTGATGTAATATAAAGTCTATGGTGAAAGCAGAAGTAGCTGAAGTCAAGAAAGTTTACTGATAGAACTGACAGGACTTGGATGTGATTACTGAGTAACAGTGACAGTGAATCTTGATCATTTTAAGGTGATCAAAATCCAATTTCTAGGTGTTACGGTAACTCAAAGCCTCATCTTCTTTTCAGATTGTAAACTCTGGGTCTCACTAATCTTTTTTACATGGAAGACAGTTCAAAAGTGTTTGATAAATTTAGTAAATGCATGCTGAATTTATCAGAATAATTTTAGTGGAGAAAATTCTTTTTGAACCAGGGGCCCTGAGCATCACAATCCTTCGTCCTTTCTATGAAGCATCACCGTGGCTAATGAAGAAAGAATTAGAGACAATTGTTCCCCCTAATCTCCAGTCAAGGTCATGGGAGACATTTCCTTCAATTGAGGTATGCAATTCCTGCTACAAAATTCTGCCATTTGCATAGCTATCCACTATTGAATCAGAGTCTCCAGTCCTCTCCCTTATACTTATATTTTAACATTCTGTAAATTATTGATAGGCTCAAGGAGTTAGAGGCTTTTTAACATTTTTATGTATGGCAATGGAATTTTACAGAAATACACCTGGCTATCTAATTTCTATTTTATTTCTTTGTCTATATTGCAAGTGTGAATATCTTCCTGTAATATTCAAATATACTTTCTGAATAATGCATGTTACATGTCTCCTATCATGAAATTACTGATATTATGCCATTTATTCCTTTAATTTGTTACTTAACAGTTTTAACATAGCATTTTAGGTCTCATTTTACCTTTTCTCCCTTTCCATAATAAAAATGCACAAACTGCATATAAGAATAATGTAAAGGATTACATATGGGTCTTGAAACTGAAATGGTAATAAATATTGTGATTATGTCAGATGAGACAAATCTCACCTGAAGTGTTTAAAGAATGAAAGAAAATATTTTGGGCAGTAATCATAAGTCTTGCAGTCCTGCAAGATTTACCATTTTGTTTAATAAGCAATTTATGTATGTCTCTAACATATTATAAGATATCTAATTATTAAATCAATGAAGACATTGATAAGTATGAGCAGAAAGTGAGGAGATTGTTAATATTAAGTGATGGGAATATCTTTAAATTATGTTTTTTGGGGGCTGGGCATTTAGCTCAGTGGCATAAGTGCCTGCCTTGCAAGCAGGCAGTCGTGAGTTCAATCCCTGGTACCGATAAAAAGGAAAAAGACAAAAAAAAAAGTATAAGTTATGTTTTTTCTACCCTACAATAAATCTTATAATAGTGAAAGCAAAGATGATAAGTAAAATAACAAAGATGTTCCACCTCTTTGTTTTAATTTGGTAACTGTAATCCACATTGTGACATGAAGGTCATTTTAAATTCATGTTCTGATTCTATATAACTTATTAATGTGGGATGTGGGGCAAATCATAATGAACCTTTTCTTTTCTGAAGATGAAAAGGTCACAATAGAAGACTCACTAAGGCTCACAACTTTGAAAGTACTATGCAATGATAAAAATTACACTGTATCCGAGATTAATGAAATAAGTTTATCCTCTTCCTCTTTCTCTGAAACTCTTTATGATGAGCTTCACGCCTCTAAGTGGTTATCTCTGGTCATGCCTTTTCAAAGGAAGTGCAAAAGGTATACTTCAGACACAGGTCAACAAAGCCCACTATTCTTGAAAACCAGTAACAAGAATGTTTTATCCATGAACTTTCAAAATACAAACTATTTATCAGTAGGATGGTTTCTCTCTCAAAAACTCCTTTTACCACAAAATAAACACAGAACCACAACATTAAAGACATGAATTCTGAATGTCTTTGGGCCACATAACATTGATAAAGAATAGTCACGTAAAGTTGTCATTAACTAGTCTGGTGTTGCATTACCATGCACCACTTTGCTTAGCATTACCTTAACTGCTACTCGGAAGGACACTATGCAACAATGTTTAAAAATATTCAGTTTCTTGGAAATATACACAAAGGGGAAATTTTTGCCAGTTCCAGCATTGATTTTCCTTATATGTGCAGAATTTTTTGAGATCAAAAAATTTTTTATGCAATTGCATTCCTAACAAGTGATTCTTGGTATAGTAGCTACAGAAATACTCAACTTAAAAAATCTGTGGTAAAAACATTCTGATTTCTTTGGTGAATGCCTGGCTTTGTTTTGACAGAAAAAAACTCCAGGGCCTCCGTTTGGCACTCAGCTTTGGAAGGGCCTTGTCATTGGATGTAAACAGCTATTGAGGGCCCCAGCTCCTGTACTCAAAGACCCCAAGGTTCTGCAGATGCGCCAGTTTATCCAGCATGAGGTCATAAAGAATGAAGAGAAACTGAGGCTGCAGGTTTCCCTTAAGGTAATAGAATCCAAATAATCTGATGCCAAAAGAATCAGAAACAAGGCAGTCGTTCTTCTTGGTTTCATTTTTGGTTTTTCTTTCTTATGTTCCTGTGGAACCTAAAATTATCTAATTCCATCAATATTTATCTACTATAACACATGAATGTCAATCTTAGGACTAGAAAGCTGAGAGGTAAAAAAAAAAAAATGATTCCCACAAGATGTAAGAATCATTAAGAGGCCCCCAAAACACAGACAAAGTAAGACGCTATGTATGGGGAGACAGTGACCAAAGGAAGGGACCTTGGGAACAATAGTTCCCATGCTGCTGGAGTACGTGGCTAGAGTTTAGAGCAGAAGCTGCAAGAAAACATTCAGCAGAACTAAAAGCAAGTTGTATTAAGAGATGCTTGCTTTGGCCCTTGCGTCATCCTCTTCCCTAAAGAGATTGCCTAACCTAGGTCAACACGTGTCACATAATGAACCATTCCATTTAGGCCCTGTCCCCACAAAAACTCCTATGCGATTTGTTGTAAATGGCTTTCTTCTCATGTCCTTGAGTTACTAATAAACAATCACAGGGATCTCAGACTGCTGATGTTTCCCTGCAGATCTCTCAAGCAGCTGCTCTAGGCTTCTTGGATAGAGCTAAATCCTGTCTTCAAGTAATCTTTCAAGTCCTCCACACAGCAATGGTCACACATTGTAATTGTGATTTGTGATTGCCATATAGAAGTCTCCTTTCTTACTATATGGACGATTAATATAGCGAAAGAAAAATCACTTATTCATTTGATAGTTGTTCAAAAATGCTAAATATATATAAATATACATATAAATATATATAACTGGTAAATATGTATAATTAATTGAATGATTATATCCACAATACTTCACTTTCTAGTTGAATACCTCAGAACAGAAATTACATGCATTTTGTTTACAGTTGTATAACCAATACATAATGGAAATCTACTTGGCTTAGAGCAGAAGATCAATACATAATAAAAATGAATTAAATATTCATATAAAAAGCAAAGTACATTTCTCTTGAATGCAAAGACATAGAATAAGCAATGTACATTCAGAGCTATAATTGTAAGACTATACCTGAAATGTCTACACATTATCTAATCCAATATACCCATTTTACTGAGGAGGACAGAAACATAGACTAGAAGCACGCCTTCTCTACAGTCTCCATGCAGTTTTATCCAAAGTTTGCTTGTGGACTTTTCAAGTCTTTGCTTAATAACCCCAGTCTTGGTTACTTTTCTCTCATTGCTGAGACAACATACTTCCTGCCCAAAACTAAGGGAGGAAAGATTTATTTAGCTTACAGTTTTTGGAGGTTTTAGTCCATCTCAGCTGATTCCAAGACAGGGTGGCACAGCTAAGGGTCAACCATTCTTGGCGGCTGCAAACAACAAGAACAAAAACAGTAAAGTACGTCCCTTCCCTTCCTTATATTGTATGCTGACTCCCTGTCCCTGGATGGGTGCAGCATTCACATCAACAATCTCTGCACTAGACAATAAAACAAATATATAAGCTGGATTCAGCCACCTTCATGACTCTGTGAGATTTGGGGCGGGCATCAAAACACAAAACATAGCAACTACCTAAGGAAAAGGCCTTCCAGATTATTAGGCTAGTGATTTATTGCTTGACGAGCTATGTGAATGTCTTTACATTCATTTTTGTAATATTTCAAGTTGATATTGACTATTTTGGTGTCTCTCTTTTAAAGTATAAACTTTAAACCTGACTTCTTTTGTCTATGTGTTTTGTCCTACTTATCTAGGATTATATAAACCACATTCTAAAGAAAGAAGATGAGCTACAAGAAATGACAGTCAAGGATTCCAGAACAGAGGAGGAAAGAGGCAATGCTGCTGATCTTCTCAAGCTAGTCATGGTGAGAAGATGGTTTATAGACAAGACCAGTGCTTTTATCATTATTTCAGTACAAAGACTTTTATATAAAATAACATAAGGACTAGGCACATAATACTTTTGCCACTTCTGTGAAGCATTTGCTTATAATCCCTTGTTTCTGTGTAAATCAATCCTTTATATGTTGAATTTTTCAAATTTTTTAAGCTTTTCCTTTGATCATCAGTAATGTTTTTTCTATCTTTTTGAGACACGGTTTCATTGTACAGTTCAAGCTGACCTTGAACTCACTTTGTAGTCCACACTGGCCTTGAATCCACAGTGATTCTCCTGCCTCAACCTCTCAAGTGCTGGGATTACAGCTGTGGGCCACCACACCCAGTTAATCATCAATAATTCTCAAGAACCTCAAATAAAAGATTCATTGCCATTCATAGAAATTAATATTCATTGAAACATTAAATGAATTAATAAAGAATTAGAGTAAAATTTCTATAACTTAAAATGATTTCCAGGGGCTGAGGATTTAGCTCAGCGGCATAAGCACCTGCCTTGCAAGCAGGCAGTCGTGAGTTCGATCCCCGGTACTGATAAAAATGAAAAAGACCAAAAAAAAAAAAAAAAAGACTTCCAGTCCTACAAATGTTTTAGATAAGAAAAATAACTAAAATATCAAATAAATTTTATATGAGCTAATTCATTTTGTAGTAATTTCCATAGTCAATTTGAGCATTTAAAGAGTACTTCTAAACAAAGTGAGTTTTGTATGCATCACTGAGTGATTCTGTCTTCATTTCAGTCTTTCCCAAAAATGGAGGAGACTACAAAAAGTCATGTCAGTGAAGGTAACTGACACTTAATATTTTTCTGCAATATAGTTACAAGTTTCAAAAGAGTAATCTTAAATTCACTTACTAGTCATTCTGTTATTTGATAGCAAAATCATATGTAGATAGCTCTGTTCTCACACTGGCCCTGTTGTTTTGTAACATCTTATTCGTGTTTTATTCTACCTGAATTAGGAAATTAAAAACCATATTGTCTTCCTAATTCATCTTTAACTTTCATCAGTTGAATGAAAAACTTGACATTGGACTTTTATGCTAGCATCAACTCTTTAGAACATAGGTGGGATATAGAAAGGCAACAGTGGACCAACCAACACACTGAAAACATATGCAAAGAACATTTGAGCTACTGTGAAAGCATCACCAAAACCTTTCACTAGACTATACTTTATGGAGTACAATTTACTCTTCATTTGAAGTGTATTATGCAAACCTAATTAAACTTGGTTAGATAGTTTCATAGTTTACAGAAAACACAGTGAATTTGGTGAGGTTTTGTTTTGATTTGATTTGAGTTTTCTGTTTGTTCGTTTTGCCACATGGAAAAGGTCATAAGCTGACAGATATGGGCTTCATTCAGCACATAGATATGTTTTGTGTATCTTCCATAGTGTTACACACTTTTTTTTTTGTTTGGTTGCTTATTTAGATTTTTCTGTTTTTATAATACCACAGTATCACAAAGTGACATTTGCCTAAAGGTGACTAGCAGAGACTCTTCAGAATGATTGATTGCAGTGGAAGAGTCCATCACTGTCCTCGGGGCTCCTTGTCCTGATACTTCACTTCGTTGCCACTTTTTTAATGGGTGACCCCGGTATTAGAGTAGCCAGACCAAATGCAAACTATTTACTGAGTGAAAATAGTTAAAATAGAATTTTAGATAAACAGCAATTACTGGCTTTGAAGCCATTATAGCATGGAATATACCGATAGTCTAAAAATTTTTTTGTTCATCTGAAATTGAAATTTAACTATGTGATCTACACTTTATCTGTATTTTTTGAACATGTAATCTTTAGTCCAAATCAACAAGTACAATAGTAATCATAGTTCATCCAATTCTGCAGAACAAAGTAAATGTAAATATATTTACTGATTCAGGAGGTAAAAAGCCTCAATATTTATAGTGGTCCCTGACATAATGATACTAGTAATACGAGGTCAGTAGTCCCTCAAACTATTTCCTAAAATGCTAGTCTATGAGGTGCATCCACCAAAAATGAATTTTTCATAAAATAAGTAAAGCTGGTGCTCCATAATATCTTATTTTTTTAGAAAGACATATTGTACATTAGTTAAGGATACAGAAAAAGTTTTTGGCAGTGAAACATATTTGGCCTTGTACAAGTCTGTGTTTTCTAAGTTTGTATAATTGTGGAACCTGAAAATTTTCTTGTTTACTCTGCTGTTCAGGTGTCACCAACACCATGTTCTTGAAGTAAACCCTAAGAATCACTCCCCAAATTTCCAAACAACTGTGTTATATTCAGATCCTTAGATTCAAGGAAGAAGCACACATTCAGAAAACTATTGTCAGTATCATGGTAATTTAAGAGTTGCTATTTCAGATATGAGAGAATTCAATTAAGAAGTAGAAGACAGTTTCCTTAATGATGTGGGATAAATAGCATGGCATTGTATTTTACATTCCAACTATGAGTGCTTCCTAGTAGTATATTTCACAAAAGTAGAATCTTCACTGTTACATTATTGCTTGGCCATTGAAATTTTGTCATACACTTATAGTTTAAATGTAAGCTGTTCAAAAAATCCCTAGTAGTTGGAGTGTTGATTGTGTTGTACTATAAAGAAGTAGAGATAAACATTAAATGCATGTATTTTCAAAGTTACAGCCCACCTAACTGAGTTATTCAAGCAGTCTTTGGCTTCTACTCCAAAGTTTCCACCAGATACATTCAATAAAGACTTTTTTGAGAACAAATGGAGGTAAGCAACACCAATAATGAAATAGTACTGGTCAGAGAATGCTTGAGGAAATAAAACAATGTTGGGGGGTCATAGCTATGGGTGGCAACATCAATGGATTCACAGCCCTTCATCACCCATGATTTTAGCAATGTCAGTGTATAACTGGGTTTTTCTTTTTTTCTATCTTGTTTTTTTTTTTTGTAACATTGGTTGCTCTTTATCATCATACTTTTCTTTCTTTTTCACATAGACATACAGCAGCATCAAAGAGATGGAAAGAAAAGATAGAGCAAAAGAGGTAATTCTACCCTGACATAGACAGATGCATGTAAAAAGGCCCAAAGTCATAGAATCTTAGAGAATACATAAGCAGAATGTCCTACCACATAGGCTCTCAACTGTCGCTTGTGTCTTTTCCTACATTTCTGCCACCGTGTGCATTAGCCTCCAAGTGTCATTGTCAGTATCTCTTGAAGAAGTCCACCTGACAATCAGATCTTCCCCCTCTCCTGAGCAACTAGGTTTTCAGGAAATCTGTGCATTTCTTCTTCTAACGCACTCATCAATCTTCTGGGACTTATGTAGGATATAGTTATCAACATTCAGGGAATTTTGTCATTCACATGAGGGAAGTGCTCTAAATATTACATTTTGATTTTCTTCTGATCTGCCTGAAGCTTTCATCTCCAGCTCTCTTGCTAAAAAGAGAGGAAGCCATACATATATTTCTTGAGTATAAAGTAATACCTGAAATAGTTTTGTAAACATTTGTATGGCTCCTCTTCCAAATGACTCCCAGTATGAATAGCTTCATTAAGATTTCAGTGTTTTCTCGTGAAACATGTTGAGGTAGTGTTAAGACTTTAACCTTCATGGCTCACCTCCACCTACAATGTAAACAGGAAGTGATGTATGCGCTGTGCTGGCTGTAGTGGGGAAACCTCTTTTGATGATTCTGTCTAAGATCTAATGGCTGTGTTCTCTTAAACAACAACAACAAAAAAAATTAACAAGACAAAAAGCGTACGGATTTATTTGCTTCCATTACCTCGAAAGCTTAATAAGAAAATGAAGACCCAAAGAAATTTGCTAAACTTTAGTATTTTTATACTAGATTTGATTGAGGATGGAAGGCTGGGGAGAAATGTGATAGGACAAAAAGTACAGTCAAATATTAATAAACTTAGAGAAACCTAGCAAGACTTGTTTGTTCAGATTCTACTCTGTGCCACTGTCTTCAGAGATAAGGATTTTCCTTTTGTCTGAACATAGGAGGGACACCTCTCATAAGAGGATCTGGCAGGAGAGAGTCAGAGAATTCTTCCTAGGTTTTGTGACCCTAAAACTGTTTCCAAGAGTCTGATGATGGTGGGTAACAGTGAGAACGGAGACTGAAAGATCAGGGGACAATGTGAGATAGAGACTTTCTTATTTACTTTGTACTTGTTAATACTTTTTGAATATGTATATGTTAGCCAATTTTTAAAAATTTGATTCATTAGTAATTTCAAATCTTAACTTATAGGTAATTAATGGCCAGTCAGTAAAATCAAAACACATAATTAAAAGTATATCATAGAAAGTAAAAGGTTAGCAAATGTAAAATAGAGAAAGTTTCAAGAAAATGAAAAGGGATAAACAAAAATCTAATGGTATGGAAGAATGAAAATGTGAATGGAAAAAAGTGAACTTGGGTTTACCCATTTGAAGATTTATTGATTCTTTTGTGGGAAAAATTTAAGAGAGTAGTATAAACAATAGCCAGATTGACATACATTGAATCCAGTGAAGCTGGAGAGATATTTTTAGTGGACAATTAAAACTGCTTAAATAAGATGATATGTTGATCACATCTGTCCAGTAGTTCTAGGCTTCCCATTTTATATAAGGGCACTAATCTTAGAGCCAGCATTTCTAAAAGTAAGTTACAGTTTGACTATTTGCAAGATTGTATTATGCTGACTGACCATTTCATTTCAGTAAAGTTCACTTCAGGAATTCAGATTATCTGTGAAAGATAAGATTGCCAAATATCTGAAGTTTTCTCAGCTCTCACATTGGATGACTGAAGGTTGACATGTGCAGTTGTCAAGGTCACTGTCTTGGAAGAAAGCAATCTGAGTTTTAATTCAGAATACCTTATTAGTTATATGATTTGTAATACACAACTTAACCTCTCTGTATCTTGATTTTTTGACCTGTAAAGGGAGACAGGAAGTCTTATCCAATAATTTCAATATGCATCTCTTTGAACTTTCCTATGTGCTATCTTTCCAGCAGAGGACTCTGCTATTCAAGAGGCAACCAGCAGGATTATTATGATAGCCTAATAACTTTGTAACTACTTATATTATTTATATACTATTCCTTTGGTTTTGTTTTTTGTTATCACTGCTACCAGAATTATAAACCTGAAGACTCTGTAGCTTTTATTTGCATTTCAGAATTGAAGAACTTCAAAAACTTGAACCATTTCAGGATTATATAGTTTATAATCATTTGAGATCAACTGCAAAATCAGACTAATCTGGTATTATTATTTCCACAGTAGGAAATGTGAGTGACTCTAAAAAAAAGTCAAAATAAGTTGACCAAAAATCTGTCTGTCCAATGAGCTAATTTGTATCAGTTTTACTATTGGTGATTGCATTGATTTTCTGTAGTTTTAGAGCTAAACATAAGAAAATAGCATTTTTTAATGTCTTGTATCTTCTTTTGCATTATTATGGAAATATCAACCAGGCAGGAAATTGAGCTGACAAAAAAGCAGCTAAGAGATATTAGGAACAAAGTGATACCACCCTATTTTGCCTCTGAATTGAACCAGTTATATCAGTCCCAGGTAACTGAATGTAACTAACAACAATTACAATCTTTATAAAAGTTATATATAGTGTTAATATATAATCTCTTTCCTGACCTTGTTTAATTTTCTACTACATCAACCTACTAACAAACCTATATTCCCCTAAACAAGTTTAATTTCATTTCTTCTTCCAATGTAGAAATTCTCTACCGGTATATTATTATCACTGTTCCTCTGTGCCTTGTTTTATTGAGATTGAAAAGAAATGAAGCCGGATCCACCCCCCCTCCTTCTTTTAGCCAGAAGGAAGCGCTATCTCTGACAGCTTTCTTGCCCCTCCTGTGCATTCTCCCTCACTTCCTCAAAGGTAGCATAAGGCAACTAGTCCCAGAGCTTCCCACTACTGCAGGGTGACTTTCCCCGGCTGTCTTCCAGACCCAGCTGAGAGCTGCAATCTCCTCTCTGATTCCAGCCCACCAAAGGTGCTTTTGCCAATTCTCTAAGGTACAGCCATAAAACCATGCCTGACAGGGCAAAGAGAGAGTAACTAGAACCCATTGCTGAAATCTTGAAGCCCTGAGGAACCAAGATCAGCACGATCAGCCCTACCCTCCAGACTCCTCAAAAAGGTGGCATTCACAATTTTGGTTCCACCATTTCCAGGGAACTGTGAAAGCTGTCATTCAAGTAGTTGGTTCTTTTGCAGTTTACAACTGCCCTGGACACCCCATGCCACTCCAGAGATGCTTGCCATAGCAAGATTGAAATAGGAGCCCGTCCTAGAAGACTCTGTTATGCAGCCACTCATAATGACTGTGCCCTGCCCCTGTCCCCTATTATTATGAAAATTCTTAAGTGGGTCCATGAAATGTGCAAAACTGTGTGGGCACGAGCATCCTCCTGCTCAAGATGAGCAGAACTCTCTCACACTCCTGTGGTTAATGGAGGAGAGCTCCTTCCGATGTACTGACCCCAGATGTTGCAGCACGGGACCTTGCTTTTATAATCCTATAAAACTATCCATGGATTCTTGTTTCAGGTAGCATAGGCAAAAGCAGGTTGCATTAAAAGGAGCTATTAATGGTAAGAGATTCTAACCCTGAAGATTCCAAACAGTGGCACAGATTGGCAGAGATCAAAATCACCAGCAGAAATCACTGGTGAGCAGCAGCAGAGTCCAGCAGACACTGACAGGGACCTGCAGAGAACCCAAACAGATCCAGTGGAAGCTGCTGGAGGAGCTCAATAAAACTACCAAAGGGACTGTGAACCTCAGCTGCTGAGAAACTCATGGGGTAGCCAGGAGCTGCCAAGAGCTATAATACTAAGACCTGAGGGCCACTTTCACTCAGATCCCAGAACTACTAGTGGATACTTTGCCAACTGATGATTTTCATTTTAACTGAGCAAAAGAACCCTCAGCCCACTGGTGATTTTACAAATATTATCCTCTCCCATTTATTTTAAACCCTTGGGGTGGGTGTGAGTATAAACTATCAATGATTATTTTCTGATAAATTCCATTTTGAAATTTTTATTTCATCAAAAAATTTCGTCACTCACCAGCTTGCATGACAGTACTAAGATTCTATGAGTTCTTAGAACCTCAGAGAGGCAGAGTACTCTCTCACTTATGAACCACATCTAAACCACAGGCTCAACCTCCCCTCATGGGGAGTCACTAAAATCCTTTAGAAAATTGAATTCTTCATGTATTCAGAATATCTGCACTCCTCAAAGATTCCAGATACTCTTAGTAACACAGCCCAGCCAAGAAAAAATTATAGAAAACTATGACTAATTAGCAAAACCTAGAAATTAGCTAGTCATTCTCTTGGAGAAATTCTCATTTCTTTTCAGGACCTTAAATATATGCTTTCTTCATTGCTCATCATTTTAGCGTATTTGTGGCAGTTGCCTTTCAGCCATTTGTGAGTCTGAAATAAATCTTTTGGCTTTTCTTTTAAGTACAATTATCTGGACAAGCTTTCAAAAAAACTGCCTCCTTTTACGAAGAAAGATGAAGATGCAAACAAGACTGTTTTTCAAGATACTTCTGATCTTCATTCAGGTAATATATTAAGGTATCTTTTATTCCTACTAACTGTACTTAACTGAATAATACAGCAGGCTGTCCAAATATAATTAGTTTATATCACTTTTGTCATAGTGACAGCTGATGACAGACCCAACTGTGATCTGCATATTATACATTTGATTGAGTTACATGAGGAAACCAAATTGTAAACAAAATTTAGCTTTTGTTTCGGTGTATAAGGCTGGGGCTATATCTCAGTGGCTTAAGCACTTCCCTGGCAAGCATGAGGTCATAAGTTTGATCCGCAGTCCCTCCCCAGAAAAAGATTATGATTTCTGTGTTTACCATTTACCCAAAAGCATGTAGAAAATGGAATGTAAAAATAAAAGAAATAATGCACGGTTGTTGGGGAACAAGACATTCAGTCAGTCTCAAAGTATCAATCCACATACACTAAGTACATAAAATGTACATTTACAATGGAGATGTTACATTTTCCACCTTAACTACATTACTGAACTTCTACCAGTAGCAAGACAGCCTAGCAGTAGGTGCCTTAGGCCTCCTCAGCATAGGACTCCAGGCAACTACAACTGTTCAACCAGGGTTAGCACACACAAGTTGAAAAGTATTTTCCTCCACAAACAGATGTGCTTTTTTTTTTTTTGGTCTTTTTCGCTTTTTTATCAGTACCAGGGATCAAACTCACGACTGCCTGCTTGCAAGGCAGGCGCTTATGCCACTGAGCTAAATCCCCAGCCCCCAGATGTGCTTTTTAAATCCATTTCATATTATGACTATTTTCTAGAAGCATTTATTTTAATAAGAGTTACAATCAAATTAATAAAGATTAGAAACTTTTTCTAAAAAAATCATATCCCAATCACCATCACAAGATAAAAATAGAAACAAATTATTTTTTTATAACACAACGAAGGAATAATTTTACTCTTTGGTCAGAATATTCACAAATAACCAGCCAGTTCTAAGGAATGTATACTTTGCACACGCTGTCTTCTTTGCTATTGGCCAATGCTGGTTCATATTATAAGCAGTCTCTGCTTTTCGATGCCTTTCATATATTTAACCTTTCCCAGTCATGTTGAGGGAAAACAATGTGTTTTGTAAAACATTGCTCAGTGTTTGTTCATACAAACATTAGTCATCACATCATTGCCCAAAATACCATTTTATGTTTGTTTGGGGATTCTTTTAGATTCCAAACCATCTACAATTTCACAAAAGGAGACCTCAAATGTGCTTCAATGTCCAAAACCAGAGATTTCTAAGGATATCAAGGAGTCTGCTAACCAGAACCAAAACGAAAATTTAACGAAATCTCCTGAAGGTATGGCAGTCATTTGCTTCATCTATTTGTTTCTCAAAACAGAACCCTGTACTCTTTTGAAATCTGTTTGGGATGTAGTTGCTGATAGAGAAAATACCAGAGGGTCATTGATCCTGGAACTACAAAGATTTTTTGCTTCTATTTTGAGAATTACTATAAGACCCAGATTTCAGGGAAGAAATACATTTTTATATTTGTTATTTCATAGCTTTATTTTATTTTATTTTATTTTATTTTATTTTATTTTATTTTTTCCCTCATTGTCTGAAAGCTCATTGTGTGGATCATTGAAGGTCGGGTACCTCACAGCCTTTCTTTAGTAAGCAGTGATTTGGTGGCTGAACTTAGTTTGCCTGTTACTTCAATACTTCCTTCGTTCTGCAGTTACCAGAAGAGAAGCATATGATGTGGTCTCTGTCTTACATAGCATGCATGTTAATTAGCTAAGAGAAATTGAAATACAGACAGCACAAAACAATACCTAGTTTAAAAGAGTCATATGCAGTGATTTTAGGGATCCTAATATGGCTCTTCCAAGGAGGGGAAGAGAATTTTAAGTTGTGTAGATAATTTTGTCAGCATTTGATTTCTGTGAACGTGTTTATCTCTGAACATGAGAGTCTGCTGATGGCTCTTAGCAGTCTCTGATAGAGAAAATAGTTTCATTTAGAGATGAATTAAGAGAGTTACCTACATAAATCTTTTGCCTTTCTGACCTTAAACTTCTCTTCTATAAATTTTATTCATACACTAAATAAGTCTCAGTGCCTACTATACCAGGTATTGTCTTAGGTATAAACATATAGCAGAGAAGAGGCCAAAAGCTATGGGGTGTACACACTATAGAATAGTCAATAAGCAAGAAAAATAAACTAGGTAAATTCACACTGTAATTAATATTTTCACATAATAAAAGTACAATATAAAGAGAACAACTGGGAAACAGGTGCAAGTTTTCACTCGAGGATTAGAAGTCCTCTCTCAGAAGGAGCATTTGGGCAGAAAAAAGAGCAAGGGGTTAATCATGCAAAGTTAAAGGAGAGGAACGTTATAGGTAGTAGGACAGCAAGTATGCTGCCTTGAGAGAACATACTGCGACTGGTAAAATACAAAAGGAGAAAGTGAAAGTTGAGGTCAGAGAGAGGAGCAGAAATGAGATCATATAATGCTGCAATGACACTTTTTAGTTTTAAGTAAGTGGAGTTTCATGTAGACACTCCTGGAAGGCTTTGAGCAGTGTAATTACACAGCTAGTTTATTTTCTTTTAAATTGCCCTGATAACTATGAGGATAGAAAAAAGAGGGGGAAGCAACAGAAGTAATATACATGAGAGTCGCTGAAGACGTGGACTAGGGTGTTCAAGGAGAAGAAGACAAAAAGCAAACTAATTGAAAATATCTTAGGGATGTGGAACCAAAAGGACTTGTGACCAATTATATGTAAGTATAAGGGGAAAAAAGGAATCAAGGCTGATTCCTAGTTTAACTGATGGAACCAGTCCTGAAACCAAGAGTTTTAGTTCTGACAAGTTCCAGGGGGCAGTGATAATGCCGGTCCGGAAGCTTTGAGGACCGTTACCTTGAGACAAGTCCTAAAGTCAGGCAGGGAAGGAACCAATAACGGCAGTTAAGAATAAGACTGGAGGAAAAAAACAGGAGCACAGAAAATTTTAAGTACTCTGGGTGAGCAAATGTTCTGGAAAGATGGAATAAAATAAATAATAACCTTAGGATTGTGTGAAACGGAGATGATCAGTGACTCTGACCACAGCAGTTTCCATACATGGACGAGACCAAAGCCCATCTGAAGTGAAAATGGACTAAGGGGAATGGCAGCACCCCAAATATGTTGCTTTACCCAGGAGTTTTGCTGAAAAGATTTGAGAAATGAGACTGTAGAGGAGGAGGAATATGTGATCCAGGAAGAGATAATTTTTAAAAAAGATTTACCATACTATGCATGTTGACTTGTAAATGCTAACTCCATCCTAAGAGAGAAGTTTAATGGTGCAGGAAAGGGGAATGCTTACTTACGGCAGAGCAGAGCCCTAGAGAAGGTAGCAGAACGTGGCATCTGAGCAAAGCCCTGAGCAGTAGAATTGAATTGAATGTGGATGTTAACAATGCTATCGTACATGGTGCCAGGAGAAAAGCGAGAAACAATGGAGAAATCTCCAGGTGGGCCTGTGTGTTTGATGTTGGAAGATGAGGGAGTTCTTATCTGATGAAAAAGGAATGTGCATAATGATAAAGTATAAAAATTAGTCCAGAGACAAAGCAAAAAGCAAAACAAAAGAGGAGTGACTGACTGTGAGGGGACAGTGGCTGTAGGTCAGCGGTCTCCATCAGGTCAAATAATTGTTCGCTGGATATGGTGGAGTAATAAACTAGAAGAACAGTGTCTTTGTCACCCTCCTCATCACTTGTACAAATACTTGACAAATGAAAGCCAAGAGCAATGTATTTTGGCTCATAGTTATAGTCTATTGATGGCTGATTCCAACAGAAACAAACAAACAAATAAAATAAACAAGAAAAAAGAAGAGCTGGACAGAGAACAGTAAAAGATTATGTCATGATTACATCATGGCAGCCAAGGAGCAAAGCAAAAAGGATGAAGTCAGGAAGAGACAGACACTTCCAGGTGTCTTCCAATGCCTCTTCCTATCAGTAAATCTGCTGTAGTGCCCTGTTGTCCATTCACATTGCAAAACCCCTGTTATAAACACAGGAGGCTCTTGGGCGATATCTAGATATAAACCATAAGGAATAGAAAGAAGTGCTTCTAACTGTAATTTTTGAATGCTATAAAATTATTGGTATTGGCAAATATCTTATTTTTCTTGTTCCTGAGACAAAATACCCAACACTCAATGTTAAAGAAGGAAAGGTTTATTTCAGTTCACAATTTATAGAGATTTTAGTCCATAATCAGCTAGCTCCAAAACAGGGCAGCACGACAGAGAAGTATCACAAAGCAGGCAGAAGACAGCCTCAGATAAGCAGCAGCAGCAGCAGCAGCCCACTTCCCCTTTCTCCCTTTGTATTTCATGCAGGCTGTAAACCTATTGACTGGTGCCACCTACACCTGGGGTGGGGTTTCCATTATCTACATCCATAATCCCAGTATCCCACCCTTAATTCATATACCCTAATCAAGCTACTTTAAACTCCCCATCTATGATCTCATGAGATTTTGGGGGAACATCTAGATATAAGCCACTACATCCTACCCCTGGTCCCCAAAAGACTCCATTTATGCAAAAGGCATTTAGTCCCTAAGAGTTGCTAAAGTCCTAACAGTTTCAACGTTGCTGAAAAGTCCAAGTTCAAAATCTCCTCTGAGACTCAAGGTAAATTCCTAGCTGCAAGCTTCTGTACAAATTAAAAGGAATCTAAACACTTAACCTACATGCAGTGACAGATTAATCCACTGCTCCTAATCTCAGTCTCAGGCACATCAGTACAAGATCAAAATGCAAACGACTTTGCTGCCAAAGCATAACACCCATGGTCTGTGGTCCAGCTGCCAGTGCAGTCTTTATTCCTAACGGGAAACTCTAGAACCTGGTCTTTACCAGATAATATCCTGGTCTTCTGAGCTCTGACCAAGATTTCCCATCAAGGACAGTTTACAGCATTCCAAAGCTATTTTTTGTCAACTGGCACTAGTCATAACTTTTTTCTCTTGTTTTGTTTTGTTTGTTTTTATCTTTTTGAAACAGTATCTCACTATGCAAGTCAGGGTGGCCTTGAACTCACTTTGTAGCCAAGGCTGGCCTCAAACTAACAACAATCCTCCTGCCTCAGCTCCCCGAGTGCTGGGATTACCAGCAAGCATCACGACGCCCAGGTTATGTGGCATAATTTAAACTTTCTCTCTAGCAGAACCAGAATCTTACGTGCCTGTGAAAATTCCAGTCCAGTCATTACTGCAAGATGTTGCAGGACAAGCAAGGAAAGAAAAAGTGAAATTACCACATTATTTGCTGGGCTCCAAGCCAAAGTCTCAACCACTTGCAAAGGTAAAACAGACACGGGGACAAATTTTGCAGAGCCAATTAGCATTTTCTATGATGCTTTTGCATAGAAGTTACTAGTCTCAGCCACTGTGTGCTGCTGTTTACTGATTGCACCATCTCACTTAAGGACTGTAGTCACAGAAACTACCGCAGTGCTTTGCACAAGCTGGCTCATACAGACTCTTGAGATGAATTTTACGAGCTAGTTGTTAAACAATTTATAGCTGAAATCAGCTATACTGGGAGTTTTGTCTTCCGAGACAGCTTACCAAGTCACTACCAGCCTTTTGATGACTCTCAGGCTGGAATCCACATGACTTGGATGTGTACAGGACCTGTTCCACTCGTTCCTTCACCCTAACTGTTCCTCAGCCTCACTTTCCTTCAGCTATTGTAAGTTTCTCTTCTTCCCTTTCCCCTAAGCCTCTAAGATTAAGTTTCCACCAACTGGTTCCAATAGGAAGGCTTCCTTGGGTTCACTAGTAAAGTTTTTATCCTTGTTTTCTCCTTATTTTCATGTCACACAGTAGTCACTGCTATTGTAGATATTATTGCCATGTTTCTACCTGATACATCATACAAGTGTTTCTCAAACTTCACCATGCTTATGGATTATCCAGGGCTCTTGTTAAAGACCTGACTCAGGAGGTCTTACACGGTGCGGGAGATTCTGCAGTTCCATCAAACTCCCAGCCCATGGCAGCGCTGCTGATTGAAGACTGACAAGGACATAGAGCAGTGTACCAGCAGCATCAGCAACACCTAAGAATTTGTGCAAATGCAGACCCTTAGCCCTGCCCCTGACGGACAGACAGACAGACTCGGAGTGGGATCAGCAGTTTGTGTCTGAAGAGTGTGCTGGAGGTTTTGAGGGTAGCTGACTTTGACAGTCACCAATAGAGGAAGAAGTACAGACTTTAGTATGAAGCAAACCTATGTTTCAAGCTTTGTCACTTATGTTTGAACAAAGTATCTTTCAGTTCTTTGACTTTGAGCTTATCCATCCTTGAGGCAAAGCCTAAAATATCTCTTACAAGAATATAATAAGAGTTTCATGTGACTCTAAATCTAAGTTATTTTCCTCTTGTGACAGGAACACTTTCTTATTATCTTGGGAACCCCAAGGAGAATCATTTTATTTCATTAACCTTTTTTTCTGACTTCATAGGTGCAGGATCCTGTTGCAGGAAAAGTGAACACATCCTCCATTGCATCTGCTGCCATTAATAATACAAAGTCATCCCATCTTGGGTTCCACCTTCTCCCACCATCAGTGAAGTTTGGGGTGCTTAAGGAAGGGCACACCTATGCAACCACTGTGAAGCTCAAGAACATCGGTGTGGACTTCAGCAGGTGAGGCCAAGCACCAAGGCCTGCTCAGGTTCCCATCTGTCTCTGTTACTTGTCTTCGCCAGCCTGTGCAGGGAGTGTTTTCTGAGTCGTAACTGTGCGTTGAGTCTTCACATAATTCATTCAGCAGTTTACTCACTGACAGGTCTTTCATTCACTCCTTCATTCATTCTCCTGTATCATAACCAAAAAAAGAAGCTACACAAATGTTTCAGCAATACACAAAACTTGAAATTGTTTCTTAGATTAATTACCAACTCTAATGTCAGTTATGAAACTTGGTATGAAAATTGCTTTTTGTAAAAAAATATATATGTGTGTGTATTTAAGGAATATAATGTTGTGGGGTGCATTTGAGTAGTAAAAAGGTCACTAGAGAGAAAGCATTAAAGCATACATTAATGCAGTTATCCTATCCCTTTTTGCTTTTGTGTCAAGAGAAACTAAAATCTACTTATTTAGTGTGAATTCTATATACAGTATAATTTTGTTACCAATAATTCTCATTTTTACACGTGATATCTTGATTTGTTCATCCCACATAACTGCCATTTTGTATTTTTTAACCTATATCTATCTTTCTATTTTCCTGAATGTAGTTGCTGATAGTTTGTTCTCTATCTTTGTGTTTTGGAATAGGTCTTTTAACTTCCACACATAGGTGAGGTTATATTTTTTCCTCTGTCTGACTTACTTTCCTTGGCATAATGTCTTCCAGGATTATCAATGTTATAACAAATGGCAAGATTTCATGCTTTTTTAGGTAGGACTCAGTATATAAGTGAAATATTAACAGAATAAGATGGTGTTGAAAATAGATTCCAAATGATTGGAAAAACTATATGCAAGCTATACATGAGATAAGTGATTAATATCTAAAGTTTAAAAGAACTCACTCAGTTCAATAGTGAAAGAGTTAATAATCTGATTTTAAAATGAGCAACTGATTTAATAGACATTTATCCAAAGAAGACATAAAAATGGTCAGTAGGTATATGAAAAGTGCTCAATATCGTTAATCACCAGGAAAATATAAGTCAAAACTACCAGAAAATGTTGTACTTGTTGAGAAAACTCTTTTTAAAAAATTCAAAAGATAAATATGTATATATGTAATATATCATATACTGTATATTGTGTACATATATATTTCACATAAGTCAATGTTATTTTTTTTGTCCATTTATCTCTTTGGATGTTTAGGTTGTATTGTTACGTTGGTTACTGTGAGTAATGCTCCAGTGCATATGGGAGTCTTCATCCCCGTACTTTGAGAAGGTGATTTCACTGCATTTGTGTATATGCCCAGGAGAATGATCACTGCATCATACAGTACTTTTATTTTTAATTTCTTTAAAAATAATCACACTGTTCTTCATAATGGCATTCTTAGTAACAGTATGAGATTTTACTTTCTCTACTCTTACTGACATTTTTTACCTTTTGACTTCTTCATTTTGCACATTTAGTTTGTTGATCATTTCATTTGTGATGGGAACCTTTCCATTTTGATATACTCATATATTTATTTTCATTTTGTAACTTGAGTTTTTAATGTGAACCCAAAAAAGTAATCATTGCTCAGGACAATATGTAGAGCTTTTCGCATTAGGTCCTCTTCAGAAGCTTTTTAGCATCGTCTCTTATGTTCAAATGTTTTAAACATTTTGAGTTGGTTTGTTATACTGTTAGATAAGGGTCCAGTTTTATTCTTTTCACACCACAATTTATTGAAGAGATTGCCCGTTTTCCTATTGTGTCTTCTTGATGCCCTTATTTAAGAAACTAGTTGATTGTACATATTTGGGTTTATTTCTGGTCTCTCTCTTCTGTTCTACCGATCTATGTATATGGCCTTTAATCCTGATATGTCTAGTTCATTGGACCAAGAAATGCCTAGCAGATTAGTAAAACATGTGTCTGGGTATATCTGGATGAACCACAGAACCATGGCTTTGGGTGACATATACGATCTCTTACCCATTCTTTTCTGGTACTGTTTCCTTGCTCTGCTTCCCCCAGCCATGAACTCAGCAGCTTTGCTCTGCTGTGCCTTTCCGCTAAGATGTTTCTGCCTTGGAGCCAGCTGATCATAGATCGAATCCACTTCAACTGTGAACCAAAATAAACCTCCCCTCCTTCAGATTGTGAATGTTATTGTGTCCCAGCAGTGAGAAAGCTGGCAGCAGAGAAGGGAGGACATTGTGGTTGGTCATATTGTTTGGAAACCTTTGGACTGGTGTGGGAGGAGTTTGGAAAGGTTTGTGGACTAGAGAAACCCTAGGATGCTTTCAACAAGGCTTGATAGGTAATTCTGATTTGGATCTCAGAAGACCTGAATGCTAATAGGAGCGTGAACAGTAAAGACAGTCTCAGAAAGTTTCAGCTGGAAAGAAGGATTCTGCTAACAGTTGGACTAGAGATTCTGTATGTTACACTGTGGCAGAAAATTTTTTCTACATTTTTCCTATGTCCTGAGACTTTGAGGAAACTGAATTTAAGAGTTGTGGGTTAATTAATCTAGTGGAGGAAAATTCAAGACAGCCCAACATTCAGGCTGTGCTACAGGCAGTGCTGACTTTATTAGTCAGATTTATAAGCACTGGGGGCAAAAGACAGCAACATTTTAAAAACTTAAATTTTGGCTTGGAGTAACTATGTATAAAATGGGGGCAAACAGAGGTGAAGCTGCTAAAAGATTAACACCACTAGAAAGCGAGTACTTTGTATAGGCACAACAAGATGATGTGATGGCATCTCGGGAACCAGCAAGACCCCACCTGTTGCAGGCTCAAGGGTACAGCTATGTAAACCTTTCATTTGGAAAAAGAGTCCCTGGGATGCCTACTTGAAAAGGTCTCCTAGGTAATTGGTTCCCTAGGATTCATTTCTCATCTTACAGCCATCCAGGCCCTCTGAATCTGCTACAAACATGGTCCAAGGGTGCCTGGAAGATGACCTTGGCATTATCCAATGACCTTGGATTTACTAGCATGAAGAATGCAAGAGATACAGAGTCGGAAAGCTTTCCACATAGATATCAAAGGAAGGCCTAGAAGTCCAGCCAAGGAGTTTCTGAGAGTGCAGTCTATGACACTTTGAAAATGAAGCCAAAGGTGTAAGGAAGTCCCCCAGGAAGTTGGAGATGCCAATAATGTGGAACATCTGCTGGAGAAAGCTGCAGGCCATGAATAGAGTCAGTGGAAGACAGTGTCTGTGGGATTCACCCAGCCAGGATATACGAATGGGACTGCCAAAGCCCTTTGGACCTCACATTCCACTGTGTGCTCTGGATGCTGGATACAGAACCATAACACTTTAATCTTTGTCATGCTGGGTTTGATCATGCTTTGGTCCTGTTGTTCTCTATGCTCCTCTTTCTCCCTTTTGAAATGGGAATGTTTACCCTTTGCATTGTACCTCGGGATTACATAACTTGTTTTTTGTTTTTACAGAGGCCATGTGTTTAACTTGAGCCTTAGAAGAGACATTAACTTGGACGTTTGAAAAAGCTGGCACTCTTGAGACTTTGGGGAAGGGACTTTTGTGTTTTCAGTTGTATGGAGGAAACTTGTATTATGTCAGGCAGAATTATGAACTTACTGTTGTCTCTATTTGAAGGTTGAGTACAGCTTAAGGAGGAGGTGTATTTGGTTGTGAGTTGACAAGGTCAGACTGCTATTCCAACTTCACTGCATTAAGAAATGCTTAGCAGACTAACAAAGCAGACTGCTGGGGATGTCTGGACCTGTCATGCGTACTATATCTGATCCCTCATCCATTCCCTCTGGCACTGTTCCTTGGCTATGTCTCCTGGGTGCCATGAACTCAGCATTTTTGCTCTGCCTTGCCCATATGCCATGATGGTTCTACCTTGGGAGCAGCTGACCATGGACTCAGTCTCCTTAAAGTGTGAGCCAAGTTAAGCCTCTCCTTTGGATTGTGGGCGTCAGGCGTTATGTCAAAGCAATGGAAACGCAGCTAATGCCATGTGTCTTTATAACAGTACCATGCTACTTCAATTATTCTTGGGTTTTTTTCTATTTCAATTATTATATTTCTGTTATATGACTTTAAATCAAGACACGTGAAACTTCTAACTTTGTTTTTCTCTCTCTGAATGTTTTAGTTATGCAGGGTCTTTACAATTCCAAACAAATGTTAGAATACTTTTCTATTTTTGTAAATATTATTATTGGAATTTTGATAGGGATTATGCTGAATTCCTATACGCTTTGAGTAGTATAGACATTTTTTACAGATATTAGTTCTTCCAAGTGAGCACACAGTATGTGTTTGTTTGTGGGTTTTTGTACCAGAAATTGAACTCAGGACCCCTTCTTACCAGACAGGCACTGTGCCGCTGCTAAACCCCCAGCCCCTCACATCTTTCCATTTATTTGTGTCTTTATCAACTTCTTTCACTAATGTGTAGTAGTCTTCTGTGTCTTACATGTATTTTTAAAAATTCTGTCATTGGTGGAATTGTATTCTTGATTTCTTTTTCAGTTGAGTTGTTCTTTGTAAATTAAAATGCTACCAATTTTTGTATGTTGGAATTGTATGTTGAAATTTTACTGAATTATTCTAATTTTTATGTAATCTTTGGGGTTTTTACATGTTAGGGTTGTATTATCTGCAAACATTAATTTTTAATTAATTTAATAAATTAACTGTACTTCCATTGATTAAATAAATTTTAATTAATTTACTTATTTTCTAATTTAAATGTCTTTGTTTTGTCTATTTGCTGTTGCTATTTAAAAGTTTTGCTATCCTGAGTAATGATATTGACATGGGCATTTGTATGTTGCACTGGATTTCAGTGGAAGTTCTTCCCCTACTGATTAAAATCAGAGCTGTAGATTTTTATGAATGCCCTTTATTTTGTGGAAGAACTTTCCTTGTATAACTAAACCATGTAGATTTTTGAATTAGGAAAGGATGTTAGAGTTGTTGAATAGTTTATCTGTATCAATTGAGACAATCCAGTTTGTGGCTTCTATTCTGTCAATGTGATGTATTGTTTGATTTTTGTACATGAAATCAGCCTTGTACATCAGAGATAAGTCATATTTGGTCACTGATACATTTTTTATTTCCTGTCAGATTCTGTTTGCTAATATTTTACTGAAGATTCTCACAATAATCTTAATCAGATAAATTTATAGTTTCCTTGTGATATCTTTTTGTGGCTTAATTTACCAAGGAGACACTGACTTCTAAGTGTGTTTAGAAGTATTCAATGTAGCTCTTTTTTATTTGAAAGAGTTTAAGAAACACTAATTAGTATTCTGGCGAAGTCATCTGGGGCTGGGCTTCTCTTCATTGACAGGTTTCTGAATACGTATTCAATCTCTGTTTTTGATCTGTTCATACATTCTATTTCTTGCTAACTCAGTCTTCACAGGTCATATTTTTCTAGATTAATTCAATTCCTGAAAGTCATCTAATTTGCTGATATATAGTTCTTACTAGTCCCCGAGGTACCACTTGTAATTTCTTTGATTTATTATTTTTTAATCTTGATCTTCTCTTTTTGTGGACTAGCTGAGAATTTGTCAATTTTTTTTTTTTTTTTGTCCCAGGAATTGAACTCGAGACCTCATTCTTACCAGGCAGGCGTGCTGCACCACTGAGCTAAGTCCCCAGCTCCTCACATCTTTCCATTGATTTGTGGCCTCTTCAGCTTCTTTCACTAATGTGTAGTAGTCTTCTGTGTGACATCAATTTTGTTCTATATTTTAGTTCTTTCTGTTCTGATTTGTATTATTTTCTTCTTTCTGTGATTTAAGTTTAATTTGTTCTTTTCTAGTTCCTTGGTGTATAGTAATAAAATATACATTCATGTATTTCTTCTTTTTTAATATAAGCATTTATTTCAATAAGCTTCTTTCTTAGAACTTTTCCTGTACCTCATAGGTTATGCTTCCATTTCATTTGTCTCAAGATTTTTTTAACTTTTCCCTTGGATGTCTTCTCTCCAGACCAGTCTTTATACAGGATCAGGTTTTTAATTTCTACATATTTGTAAAATTGTCAAGGTTTTTCCTGTTATTGATTTGTGTTTCATCTGATGGGGGTCCGAAACAATACTAGATTATTTCAGTCTTCTTAAATGTGCTAACACTGGATTTTTACTCTAATATATGCTCTATCATGAAGGGTATACCACATGTGCTGGAGAAAACATTGTATTTATTTGTTGGTATGGTTTAGCTCTAAATGTCCCCCCAAAGTCTTATGTGTTCAGGGATGGGGCTTTCAGATGATGATTAGATTTGGGCACCACTAGCCCCACTGATAGATTAACCCATTGATAAGTGTATAGCTGAATGTGTTGTTAGAAGGCGGATCCTTATTGGAGGGAGCGGGTCACTGGGTATGCAGCCTGCAAGGGCGTACTCTTGTCTTGGCCCTTTCCTTTCTCTAGCTCTTTCCCTCTTCCTCTGCTTCCTGGATGCCATACGTTAAACATCTTTTCTGTTGTGCCTTTCCACCCCGATGTATTTTATCACAGCAATGAAAACCTGACCAATACACCTGTTATTGGATAAAAGGTTCTGTAAATACCCATTAGGTCATTGTGGTCAAAAGTTGAAACAGTATTTCTTTGTTAATTTTCTTTCTGTTTGATCTTTCACTGCAGAAAATAGAACACTGAGTATTGTATTACTATGTGTTTCTTCCTTCATGTTTACTAATATTTGTTTTATGTATTTAGGTGTTACAATGCTAGATGAAAATATATTAAAATGTTTATGTCTTTTTTTAAGGTGGAAGGGTCTGACTAAATAGTCAGGCTGGCCTTTAATTCACTATGTGGTTTTAGGCTGACCCAAAGCTTAAGATCTTCCTGCCTCAGCTTACTGAGTGCTAGACTTTCAGAGTTTCACAACCATGCCTGATTTATTTATGTCTTCTTGATAAATTGACCTTTTTATCATAAATAATTATTTTTTAGTAGTTTTTAATTTGCATCCATCTTACTTTTATGATTTACACATGCCAATTACAGTGTTAGATTATTCTGAATTTAGATATGTATTCACTTGTACCAGCAAGTTTTATAGTTGCATGTATATTACTGATAGTAATTTCAGGTTTTACTTCTGCTCAGAGAACTTCCTTATGCATTTGTTTTGCAAAACAGATTCAGTGATTGTGAATTCTTTCATCTTTTACTTGTATAACATTTTATGTCTCTATTATTTCTGAAAGACAGCTTTGCTGTGTATAGTCTTAACTGGTAGGTTTTTTGTTTCTTTTGTCAGTTTGAACATATCCTCCCTTTTTTGTTGTTCAGCAGGTATTTGCTGGTAAATCTGATGATAATCTAACAGGGATCCCTTCCTATGTGCTTGATGCTTTCCTCTTCCTGTCATGTAAATTATTTTACTTTTGGAAGTACTTCTAATTACATTGTTTCTGCACAATTGAAGCAAAAGGGAAAAACCCTAGTCTGCAGGGTCATTTTTGCTATGAAGGTCTTACTTAGAATTAATATCAATAACCTAATTCATAGTCTGTACTGACAGCTGAAAATATATGTGAGCTGGAATTTGATGACAAGGAGTCAGTCTTTCATTTTCAGGTCAAACCAATGGCATCTCAGAATTTGCAAAGACCTTAGAGACTTTCTATAGGAAGAAATTGACTTATTTTAAGGTCTTACAGGCTAGTGAGAGACTAGACTTCACTAGCTTCCTGAGCATCAGATCGTTACCTCACACATGTAGGTAATTCGCTGAACTAACACAGGTATGGTTATCAGTTTCACATGGGACTTCGGTCTTTTCTACTGGGTCAATATTATACCACATATACCAAGACCACTCTCAATTACAAAAATGCCCTCTATTTCTAATTAAATTTAAACATGGGGGAGAAAGTGAAAAAAACATTTAATGGAATAAATATTTCAGTTGTAGAGTTATTTTTATTATAATGGAAAACTCTTTAAGATAATTGTAATTCTCTACTTGGAAATCAGGTGAAACAAAATGACAGTATCACCCAGTTTGAAAGATCATTGTCATCTTTTATTTGAGGCAAACCCTCAACTTCAAGAATAATGTTTGCTTCCTAAAAAGCGACCTGCTGAGGGACTCAGCCCAGCAGTTCAGACTTTATTGGATTTTGGTTGTTGTAGTATTCTTATATTTTCACAACAACTGGATGAGATGAAATAGAGAGTTAACCTCAAACTAATGAAACTCATCCATGCAGAACCTATCTCTCCAAGTATAGCATTCTAGTTTTAGAGATTTCACTCTACAGCTTGTTAAATTCAGGCACAATGGGGAGACAGCAAAGTTGATGTCAGAAGGGCTGAGGATGGGGGTCCATGTGGAGGTAGGCTCTCCTTGGCATTTTAATTTACTCCAGGTCTCTAACCCTCAGGCACAATCCACAAACCACAGGAAGGGAAAGAGATCAATAAGCACCATGTGTGAGCAGAGCTTTTCAAGTTCTTCAATATTTTCTAAGCCCTTTCTGTTCCTCCTCTCCCTGAACATGCAAGCCCCATACCAAGACAGAGTAAGACTGGCTCCTATGCTCCATTGCCTTCCAAAAAGGCCTTTATTCTTCAGCTTAATGATCTGGCTGCCAGCATTTGCACTCACACTGGCCGCTTTCTGAAATGCACACACTGGCCAAATGCATACAACTCTGCATCCAGGCTTGAGCGGCTGGTCAGCAACCAACAACAAAGGCTTGAAATTCAGGTTGGACTCTGTTTTGTGCTGATAAAAACTTTTGGAAAAGCAGTAATGAAATGGGCCCTGAATTCTTTTTCCAACTGAATAGTAACACTGTTTTCTAAGGGTATGGACACCTGGCTCCTATATAGCAAATATTAACACCTCTCTCATTTTATAACGTCCTGATTAGCTGCTCATGTGCTTTTACTGTGGCATAAATTTATACCTGTCTTTATTCCTGGCAGATTTAGAGTGAAACAACCCCCACCCAGCACTGGACTGAAAGTTTCCTACAAACCCGGACCTGTAAGTCCTATGTGTTATCTGGTGTGTGTGTGTGTGTGTGTGTATACAATGTACATATGAATGTGTATGTTTCCAATGAAGTGAGCTATTTTTTCTTTTTTTTTTTTTTTTTTTTTTCACAGTGTCTCACTATGCAGTTCAAGCTAACCGTGAACTCACTGTGTAGCCCAGATTAGTCTCAAAATTGCAATGATCCTCCTGCCTCAGCCTTCCAAGTGCTGGGATTACAAGTCTGTGCCACCATGCCAGACTGAAGCAAGCTTTTGAATTATTCAGCCCATTAAACCTAAACTATGTATAAAAGTTTTAGGATCATAAGCAAAAGATTCCCAGTATTGGAATATGTGGCGTGGTGTCACTCATTTCCTAGTCATGGGGAGACCTCTGTGCAAACTGTTTAACTTCTGGCTATGGAAATATTTTTTAACCTCGCTTGCTGCAAGTGCAGTATAGTTATGTATATCTATATCTGAAAACTATTTTTTAAATAAAGTCTTTTGCAAAACACAAAATTTTAGAAAAACCATAATTATTCCATTTTTTATATTTTATGCAAATCTGGTTTACCATCTTGGCATTTGTCAGGTATTATTTAATGCCATACTCAGAAATAACAGTATCTTCATTAAATTGATCAGCTGCTTCTTTTGTCCAATGATGTTGAATCTGTTGATTTTGATATATTTCTAAAATGAAAAAGATGTATATTAAATCTATATTCCCATTTTAATCTATATTCCCATTTTAATCTATATTCCCAGAAGCACAGAATGATGTAAACAAAAATGTGTCTCAGAACATAACAAAATCATACTTAGCAATCTTGTCCTGGTGCTTTAATACTCCCTTCATCTCACTCAGCAAACTTCCCATAGGCCACTGAGAGGATACAGAGTAAAGCACACAGGAAGCTTACAGAACGGGTACATAGCAAGTACTCAAAATATGCGTGACCAGTAAACAGGATGAAATAGACACAAGACCCATTGATCATAGATAGGAAAAATGCATCAGCTCCTGAGAACTATCGGCGTGTCCGGCCCTGTAACATGCACATAGAGCTCCGTGCATCGGAAAGTCTCAAAATGTACTCAGTTGTTACCCATTGGCACAGAAAGATCAGTTTCAGGTAGCACAAAGACTTTCCGCTTTTTGTCATGACTATGCCACCCAACAGCTCAAAGATGTTGACGGTTAAGGCTATGAACCTTGCTTTCCTCATCTATAAATAAAAGAGGTTAGACTAAATAATCTTAGCCCCTGCGTAGTGCTAATATTTCATGATCTATGGAAAAACAGTCATATGTGAGCTGAAACCCCAGACATAAACACACATTACAGCGCCTGCCTGGCAAGCGCAAGGCCTTGAGTTCAATTCCTGTTACAAAAAAAAAATTATTTTTGAAATAATTTATCACTGTACTAAGTGAAGATTTCAGAATCTTTGCAACATAAAGCAAAACCAAAAATCAAAGCAAGTCTTTTCTTACACTAATCTGGAAAGTTATTAAATCTCATTTGAATCTAAAGTAGAGATTGTGCCAATAGTTGAAATAACCGTTGGCTCAACCTTTAAAAGTACGAAAAAAAACCCCATCTGTATTCTTTGAAGTTCACTATATATTGTTAGGGGTTTTTTTTCCTTTTTGATGGTAGGTTTTGGGGCTGCAAAAAATACAATCTATAGGCTTCTCCATATGTAAATATGACCACTGTTCAGCTTGGTGAGTTGCCAGCACTAAATGAATATGCTCAAAGCCTGAGCAAACCTGCACCATGGCACCTTTCCAGCTCTCCTCATGCGGCGTGTCGTCATCACCCAGGCCTGTTTTGATTGTTGGGTTTGGAGGAATACAGGGTCCGATTCTCAGAACAGAAATGTTGGATCCCCTCCAGGATGCATGCACAGTGTTGAAAAAAATGGAAACATTTTTCATTTCTGTTATTTAAATTTGAAAAAATTTCATTTGTTTCAATTGTTTTCCATGTGGTGGTTTCTGATTTACTCTTTTTTTCCAAATAAGTGTTCCCAACTCGGCTTTTTAAACCCACCTCCTGGAGAGACAGCTTAGAAACCAAAGCAACTCTTTTTTCCTATCTAGTTTTCTTTTCAAGAAACAAGGCAAGAAGCCCCTGCCTTGCTGAGTTTCCTCTTCATTACATATCAGGTTTCTCCTTTGTTGGTACAAGCCTCTTCCATAGACCTAAGCAGTCTGGCATTTAAACTAATTCTGTCTCCCTCTACTGGCTCTCACTTTACACATCCTGAAATGGAATAACACAGACCAAGAGGAGAGCAGGGAAGTTCCAGGATTCAAGCAGTCTCTTAGATTTATTGCATGATTAAATTTATGTTTATCAGATTCATCTTTACTTCAAGAATGTCAGTAGAATTTCACCTCTATTCACTATTGATATGCAGAAAATAGCACAACTGGGGGTATTATAGAAGTTTGTCTTTGATGCCACTTGTAATACCTTGGCATTCAATCTCCCTTTTCTTTTCAAATATCACCTGGTTTGCCTCTTTAAAAGTTTGTCCTGCATCCCAGTTGCTCAATAGACTTTTACCTAATAATTGGAAAGAATTTTGGTAAATGTTTATATTGGCTACCTTTTTTAGTGCCAAATTTATAAATGAGAAACTTGAAGACTAGATGGTTTAAGTAACTTGCCCAAATTAATATTAAAATCAGGATATGAAATCACGTTATGTGTGACAACTGTGTCTTACAGGTTGCAGCTGGTTTGCAGGTAGAGCTAAAGGTGGAGTTATTTGCCATGGCTGTTGGAGAAGGTGGTATCAAAGGATTGTCACACATCTCTCACAATATTGAGATTATGACTGAGCACGATGTTTTGTTTTTACCCGTGGAAGCAAATATCCTTTAATGTTCAATTTTACTAATCATATATAGTACATAAGTTATGAGTGACAAACACATGGAAGCCAAAATCTTCATGGAAGCCATCTCTATCTTCATTGGTTCTGTATATAAAAATCGTAAGTCATTATGTCATTCATGTTTATAGCATCCAGTCAAATCAGAAATACTTGACACATGGTACATCAGCAGTAACTACAAGTTAAATATATGTCAATATTATAGCTAGCTTTGGGAAATCAGATGATCAGAATAATAAAAGAGCAAGCCCGTCACTTTAAAAAATGTAATCTTAATTTGGAGATAAGATGTTTGTTATTATAAAAGTTGAATATCCATCAAACTGCACATGTATTCCTCTTTATAAGTGTCTACACCTTATAAATACCCTATGCTACCTAATGTTCCATTTACAAAATACTGTGCTACACAAAATATCTTATCACATATACAAATGGAAAATTGGACCCTATCTTAGAATATATTATATAGTCCTATAATCCAGTAGCACAAATAAAATCTTTGTACTTGAATAGTGTAGTGTTTCTTTTTTTTTCCAGTGACATGAATTATATACTGCTTATGTCACATATGTATTTGATTTTTAAGCTGGACCTTATAGAATGGGAAAACCTCTGATGAAACAGAACTTTAAGTACAAAGGATGAACAAAACCATAGCAGTAGGAAAGCTATGGTATTTGGAAGAATTAGCAAGGAACTGAATTTGCTAAGCATTTAAGGGATATTAGAAAAGAAAGTAGAGTGAAGTCAAGTTATAGAAACTCTAGAATCCTTAGCCTTCACTTTATATGTTAAGCAACAGCAAACCACCAAAGAGTGCTAATTCAGAGGGTAACGTGATCAACACATCTCCATAGAAATGAACCCAGTGTTACTGTGAAGTTATGTCGCAGAACTGGATATCTAAAAGAATCATAAGTCTACTTCAATGGCCAGATATGAGGACAAGAATTACAGGGGGCCAACAGCGGAAGTAGTGAGGAATATGGGTGGCAGACACGGGAGTAAAAAGGAAAGTGCAAAATCCAAGTTGGAACCCATTTACAAAAAAAGTAAGAAGTCATGAATTCAGCTCCTTGGGTTTTGGTCAGGTAATGAATCACTGATATATGGGATTGAATCTTAGTTGAAAAGTGCGAGTTGGAGATGGAATGACCTTATGTTCCCTCCACCTAGAGATAATAGTTGAATATGCAGGACTGGAGCAGAAATGATTGGTATCTTAAACAGCAGGAAGAACAAGAACCAGTGGAGACAGATCAAATGATTTAAAAACATGAAACTCCTTATAAAACATATAAAGGATTTCAAAGAAAAAGGTAGACACAATTGTCTTATGATATAGAGGCATAAAAATGAATTCAGAGTTTAAGGCAGATTTGCTTGAGTCCAAAACTAAGTTGCAAAAGATAAATAATGAAGGGATGTTCAGGTGGCACAAACATCAGATACTGATAATCTTTCAAGATCTTTATTAAAGAAAAGATCAAGGGAATGTAAAATCTCAAGGATACAATGGAATGAAGGAGAAATTTTCAGTTTAGAGTGCACCTAAGTATGTTTGTAGGCTGAAGGGAATGGATCAGAAGAAAAAGATTAAAGATAAGAATGACTAGAACTGGAACAACAGCATCCAAAAGAGGGCAAGAGAATAATTAAAAACAGAGTTGAAGAGTTAAGCTTGGCAAAGGAGAGGATGACAGTGGCAGAGAATTCAGACATTCAGAGAAAGCTTGGGGAATTTGTGTTGAGTTTGATTTCAATAGTGGTTTAATTCACTTGCTAATTTTTTTTCAAGGACAATGATTTCTTGTATCAGGTACTGCTCTCATTACTGGGGACACAGCAATCAGTGGGAGACAGAAATTCCTGTTTTTATATAACTTACATTCCCACTGGAAAACAGACAACACACAAAATAAGTAAAATGTGATCTGTGAAGGCAATGAATAAAATGAAGAATGTAAAACCAGAAAGGGGTTTAGAGAGCACCAAGGAGGATTACAATGTTAAAAAGTGTTTTTCCATGACAGAAGCTAACTAATCAAAGAACCAAGATTTTCCCCTTGACAATTAGATTAAGCCCTCTCGTCCTCTTTGTAGAAGTTATTAAATGCTGATCCTGCCTTTTTGAATCACTGTTTCTGACCTCAGAAATGAACTCATTTTGCACTTAAACTAATAAATTATGTTTCTTATAGTGATAAGTTTCTTTTCTAATAGTGATACGGATTAAATAAATATGGGGGAAATTTATCAGGTTTTTTAATCTATTGACTTCCAGTGTTCATAGCCCCATATCCCAGGATCTTTCGACTGACCCAAGAATCTAGATGTTGATATGGTTTGAGACCTGCTTATGGTGATGGATTTTTATAGATAAGCCGGGCACAGGAAAAAAATGTAAACTGGGGAGAAGAAACTGGTATTTGTTCTTTAATTCCTACACCTTTGTATGTGGAATTTGCATTTTAAAAGCACTTAAAATTGAACTAACATTGCTATACATAAGATTTTGTGATTCTAAAGTGTCATTTGAGTTTGAATGTACAAACAATTTTTTCATGAAAATCATAGTCTTTCCTTAACAAGTATTTTACCAGTTTTAACCAGCAGCAATTATGATAATCGACCAAAAGATTTTCCCCAGGGAAAAGAAAATCCCATGGTCCAGACAACGTCTACAATTTCTTCTGCTGCACTTGGAGTCGTCATGTCACGTAGTATTTCTCCACATTAAGTCCAGTAAGTAATAAATGGGAATTCGATTATTAACTATTCAAAGTTAAGGCCTCTGACTTCACATTCGTTCCCTGTAACTTCCACCCAGAAATCAATGAATGACTTGGCCCAAACAAATGAAAATTTTTGTTTCCATAACTATAATACAGTAGTTACCTTTTTATATCAAATTTAATTGTCCTACTGCCTATAAGGTAGTTATTTTCCTACTTTATGGATAAGGAAACAGAGGCCAAGAGAGGTAAACATTTAACTTAGAGGTAAACCTCCTAAGCAGAGGTAAACACTTAACTAGCATCAACTAAAGGTCTTTCTTTTAAGCACTGCTTTCTTCATGCAGATAAAAGTTGATCTTACTTTCCAAAGAGTTGTAGCACAAACACCAAGGTGCCACTTGGGGCTCAGGAACGTATAATTAAGCTACTAGTTTTCAGATTTTTCAGATCTAGAACTACTTTCGTATTCTTAAAAACAACTAAGAATCCCAAAGAACTTTTGTATGTGTGGGTGAAATCAATCAAAATTTACCAATTTAGAATTAAAACTGGGAAATTTTAAAATTTATTTGAAAAAGTAATCAATAAGTATGTCCCGGCCTGTGGTTAAGTCCACAGAGACCCTAGATGGGGAGTGGGGATGAAAAGGAATCAAGAGACACAAAGGACGGAGACAAGACAAAGTCCTTCCGAATAAGTCTTGCTTATTCAAGGAAGGAGTATCAAATATATGGGGTATTGAGGAGGAGGGAGTTGGGTTCTGAGGCGTCAGCAGGTGACTTAGCAACAGTGGCAAGACTGAGGGTTATAGGTCAATTCAAATTTCCCGGGCGGGGCTCATAAGGGGGGCTGATTAGCATAATTCCTGAATAGGTCAAACAAGCTAGGTAGGCAAGAAGCTGCTTAACTACCAAACTTAACTCCTTAGAGGGAGTTAAGGTGATGCAGCCTGCAGATATAAGGTGGCAGCCAATTACAGGACTTCCCACAATAGTATATTAAAATAAACAATATGCTCTGGAAAACTACACCCCATGCCTATAAGAGACTGAGAAAAAAGCGATGACATCTTACATTAATTCCCTAGGGCTGCCATAATGAAAGTGATTTAAAAGAAAAGAACACTGCTTAAAACAAAAAGATATTTATTGTCTCACAGTTCAGTAAGCCTGAGGTCCAAAATCAAGGTATTAGCAGGTTTGGCTCCAATTCCTCATCATCTGTTGTCCTGCAGTCCGGCAGCATCTGCGCTCATAGCGGTATTCCCCCAGTCTCTGACTCTTTTCACATAGCATTCTGCTGTGTGTTCCTCTGAGTGTGTCTCTCTATCCTTTTAAGGATTTGATTTAGGGGCTACCCTAGTCCTGAATGACCTTGTGCTTACTTGATTACATTCCTAAAGACATTATTTAGAAATCACATAACATTTCCAAGTTCTGCTAGACATGAATTTTGGAGGCACAAATTCACTACTGTCCATTTCGTATTGATTCACATTCAAAATACATTCTCTTACGAATTCTCAAAAGTCTTAACTCATTTTGATATAAGGGAAAGAAACTCCCAACCTACTAGATGTCTGGTACCAGTTCATGTTCTCTAAAATCAAAAAATAAATTTCAGGAACAGCGTAGGTTAAGAGCAAAATATATTTGAGAGAACGAAAGCATCCTTCTGAGAAAGACACAGAAGGGGTTCTGAGTGGGTTGCCAAAGACTCTGTCTTTTCTAGGGAATTTTGTAGTGCAAAACCACAAAGTGAGGTCGGTTCAAGGTAGAGAAAACATGGGTACTGGAAAGTTGGGCAAGAGGTAGGAGAGAACTATGGTCAACCAACATAATTAATTGTTCAGGTAAAATTGATTAAATCTGGGGCAAATGGGGAAGACAGTCACATAGCAAATGGGCATGTAGTGTAGTGACTTCCTGTAGGGGCTGAGTTAGTGACTTTTTGGTTTCCTCAGGATGATAGAGACCTATTTAGAATATCAATCCCTGATGTTTATTCTTAGAAAGTATATGAATGCATTTGTTTTATCTTTTGTCTTGAGGTGTGGCCCACAGCAGAAGTGGAGGTGTCTGTGTGTCTGTCTCCTCTACAAGTATCTGGTCTGCACTGGCACCTTCAAGAGCCTAGCCCTGTCTAACTACCTATAATATTTTTAACTCAGTTGTCTGTAACAATTTCAGGATTAACTCTAAATCCAGATTTTCACCCAATTATTACCAACTCAAAAAGTTAAATCATCCACTATGGATGAGACCTCATCCCCATCTATGAATCAGTGAAATTAGAAAACAAATTGCCAGCTTGCAAAATATAGTATAGGGGTGGTACAAGTATAGGATAAACAATCCCATTCCAAAAGAGAAAAAATGGAAGGGACGAACATGTTGAATGCTACAATCCAAAAGAAAATTCCAGTTTCAAAGATGGAGAGTAATCTGTGGCTCTGACCGTCCTCCATGGTAGTAACAAGCCTAGCCTCTAGGTCCTAAGGGGCTCTATCAGATCCATCCTCTGGGACCTTCGCAACAGTATCACAACCTTTCTTCATTTTATCCTGTCTCTCCTTTGCTACAATTGGCAGTGTTTCTATTAATATAACATTCCCTAAAACCTGTTAGTCTTCCATGACTGTCAAGGGGATCTACACCATTAGATACCAGGGACTCCACAGATTCTTCCTGTATGACCTATATTGCTGGATGCTGCTGAGATGGTTGCCTGGGGGTCACTGCGTTATCTATGCAGCAGCCACATACTTGGTGATTTTTCCAGAACTTGCCTTAGTATCTGTAATGATTGATACATTGTGGCAACTTGAGAAGTAAATCTTCCAGAGCAGAGGACATGCCCTAGAGAAGGCTGTTTATGCCCCAGGACTTGTAAAAGTCAATTTATAGTGTCAACTTGAGAAATTTAGAAGTTCACCTGAGCAACTCAGCAGCCGTTCAGGAACCTCATTTTGTTAACTCAGTCTGTGCAAGGGAAGGCAGGGAGATGGTGTGAGTGTTACACTTGCCCTAGAGCAGGAAACCTGCATAAAATATCAGGTAGGAAAATAGATTTGCTTGCCTCTTTTTGGCTCTTGTTGCTTTAGCTATCTTCTGCTGCCATGAATGGTTGCCCCTCAGCCATGCCACTCTGCCTTGCAGCAAGCTGATTATAGACTGAAACTTCCACAGACTGTAAGCTAAATAAACCTTTCCTTCCCTAATTTGAGCACTGAGTATTTTGTCTCAGCAAGGAGAGAAAAGTAATTAAAACAGATCTTTTGCATGTGGCTTTAGAAAGACTGTAAATTTTTCAGATAATCACCCTGGTTCCTTTTTGCTGAACAATTCCTTCCTTGATTTTTTCTTGTGTTACACTCTAAGAGACAAGAAACCCAGGCCACATCTATTGTGCTCAGAAATTTTCAACTGAAAAATCAAGTTCATTATTTAATAAGTTCTACCTTCCACCTAACAGAACACTGAATTTGGCTAGATTTTCTGCTACTTTATAATGAGAATTGTTTCAAGTATTCAATGACATGTTCCTCATTCCTGTCTAAGGCCTAATCAGAAGCATCTTTAATATTTATATTCCTACCAATATTCTGTTCATTACAGTACATGCATTCTCTAAAGTGATGTTTCGCTACTGTCCCAATCACATCCTTTAGGGATCTCACCAGAACTGCCCTTAGTGTCCATATTTCTTTTATTTTCCTTTTCTCTTGACCTTCCCTTTCTTTCTTTTCCCCCAATCCCTCCCTTCTTTCCTTCTTCTTTCTTTGCATTGTGTCTGCTTTGAGTTTACTGTATCAGTTTTCTGTACCTACTCTTGAACAAATGGAGCTGAAAATCTGGAGAAGGAAGGAGAATGGATCTTGATTCAGATCTCTCACCCTATCCTAAAATCAAGTCAAAATGGATCAAAGACCTGTATATAAAAACAAACACTGAATCTGCTGGAAGAAAAAAAAAATGGTAAAACTCTTGAAGAAGCAAGGACTGACTTCATGAACATAACCCTAATTGCACAAGAGAAAAAAAAAATCAACAAATGGGCCTGTATCAATTAAAAAGCTTGTGCACAAAAAAAGAAACAACCAAGAGTGAAGAGACAACCTATAGAATGGGGGAAAATATTTACTCAGTAATTCCTCAGACAGACTAATACCTAAACTTTATAAAGAACTCAAAAAACGTAAGACCCCCAAAAGTAAAAGACCCAATCAAAAAAGATAATTGAAATAGATACTTCTAAGAAGAGTAAGTATAGCCAGTAAATGCATGACAAAATGTTCTGTATTTTAGCCATTAGAGAGATGCAAATCAAAACACTGAGATCTCACCTTATTCCACTAAGAGTGGCTATTATCAAGGACTCAAAACACAAAATCCTGGCAAGGTTGTGGGGGAAAAATGAACCATTCTACACTGTTTGTGGAATTGTAAACTAGTGTCCATAGTTCTACTAACAGTCTCTTTAAGATATTCTGAAGGTTTCCTATATTGTGGTTTAAACTCCTACCAATTAACCAACTCCAAAACTATGTCTCCATTTTTAGGTATTTGTTACAGAAGTACTCCACTTCTTGATATCAACATCTGTATTATGCTGGGTATGATAGTACATGCCTATAATCCCAGCTCAATGTGAGTCTGAGGCAAGAGGATTGTCAGATTCGAGCACAGACTGGATTGAGAGAATCTGTCTCAATGTAAAAAATGGGTAGGAATGTGCTCAGTGTGAAAGATCTCAGTTCAGTATCCAGTACAAAAAAATGTGTATTATGCTGGGCTGCCTTAACAAGTTACTACAAGCTGAATGTTTTAAAACAACAGATATGTTCTCTTATAGTTCAGGAAGCGAGAAGTCTAAAATCTAGACTGACAGGAGAGTACCTTTGGGATGATCTGAGGGAAAATTTGTTCCATGTCTCTCCTGGCTACTGATAGTAGCCTGCAATGTTTGGTGTTCTCCATTTGTAGCTGCGTTACTCCAATGC